ATAAAAAGTAGCCGTAGTCGAGACCCGTAGCGTATTATCAAGCAAATCGACTTACCTTTTGCTACAACCTTGTTAGCTCAGGGTGTTGCGGGAGGTCAGGTCGCGGTTTGCTTGATTCCCTTCCTATAAAGTTGATTTAATTCACTAAATGTTCATACTAGCTGCTAGCTCGCTGCACCACGCTTTGAAAATACTTCCCCCCATTTCGCAGAAGCGTGTATCTCAATCGTGCTTAGCCATTCCCGGGTTAAGTTTCAACCATAACGCAGTAAACGTCCGTAAAACTTGTCAGTATCAACTTGATCACTATCTCTTAAACCGAAACGACATTGTTATTTGGCACGACGCCGTTAACAACTCTATTAGTCGACACCGTAGTAATAACTTTAACACTCTAACTCCTAACCAGCTTAAGAAGATTCTTTTAAACCATAAACGTAATATTTATGCAATCGTTTACTGTACACGTGTAGGCACGGAAGATATATATAGTAAGTTGAAAGAGTCAGGTATATTAGTTTTTAATATAGTAACAGACCTGATATCTAGAAGGAAGCAGAATCTCACTGCGTTAGGGCAAAAGTACTTAGAACTACACCAGGATCCCTCTCTAGAACTGAAAACGTTTACAATCCCTAGGCGTTATAGCAAGAATTTGAAATATATATTATTTCAAAGAAAAATACTTCTAAGCCAGGAAAACGCAAGCGGCAAGCTAATCGAAACAGAAGAGATGCTGAGCAGCAACTAGGAGTTAAATAAAGTGCTTCTCTAATGTGTGATTTTGTTTAATGAGTCATAATATAATTTATTGATACTAAAAATAAGGTCTTAAATTAATTATTCCCTTTTTTCTCTCAAACTGAGCAGTTGAGCGGTTGAGTAGAAGTGAACAAGTTTAAAAATAATCAAAATGACAGAACAAATTGAGTTAAAATATCGACGATTGATGAATGGTCGAACATCACTAGAAAATGAGCTTTCCGTTGTTCACAGTCGCATAACTGAGAGTTTAGAGGGACCAATTCGGAAAACAAAAATAAACGCCTTAATTGAATCTTGCAAGAGTATTCTCGAAAAATCATTAGCTAAAAATGATGAACTTGTGATATTAGCTAATAAAACCGATAAACCTAGCAAATTATAAACGGAGTTGGCTGCATGGTGGGATAGGATAGTTAAAGGTAACGATGAAGTAACTGGTAAGGCTCGCGCTCATATGGAATCTAATCAAGCTTCAGAGGTCTGCGTCAGTGAAACTAGTCGATCAAAAGTTTCATCAAAATCGGCAAAATCCGGGTCGAGTAAGCAAAGCTCAATGAAATCATTGACCCCCAGTGAGCGCCGCAAAGAACTGCTCCTAGCAAAGATGAAGCCAGAAGAGTTGGAAAAACAACATGAAGCAACCTTAAGACTGAAACAACAGGCAGCCATTATCAAAGAGCAACAGCATCTGATTGAGATGGAACGAAAACAACAAGAAATTAAATTTGAAATTGACCGTAAAGAGCAAGAATATCGTTTACGAATCGAAAAAAATCGGCTTGAAATGGAACGATTGAGCGAAGAAAATTGTATTAAAGTAGCTGAAACAAAAATGGTTGAAACTGAATACCTCGAAGAGTCTGAAATAGATCAGCATCTCAAGCTGGCGTCTTCGGATAATCGTCGTTCTGACAGGGTAAACGATTGGGTTGATCATGCATTAGAAAACCAAAAAGGACCCGAGGTAGTTCCGTCTTCTTCAAAGTTTGAAACCTGTATAAATATAGAAATTGGTTCGCATCAAAACAGAAATGTGTCCACAGCGGGAGCTTCACCTCGGCGATCGTTGCCGACTCAGACTTTTGATTTTGATCAACAATGTTATCCCTATCAACCAACCGTCTCCTTCAGCGATGGCGATGGAATCAAGCACGCTGTATCCACTAATCCTGAGCACAAAACGCAGTCATTGCTTATTTCAAATAAACACTTTGCGAAAACAATACATCGTAATTTTTTGATCCAGCTGTAACAGCAGCTACCAATACTCCGGTATGCTGTTTCTTCTCTGTACCTCATCATTCGTCTTCCATTCAACATATCCCTGTGAAGTTAACTTATTTAAAAACATTAGTCACGAGAAAAGCTAAGTCAGCCATAGCAGAGTTTGCATACAGTGGAAGAATGTATAGGGATGCTCTGAAAACTCTGTAAAGAAAGTTTGGCCAGCCACAAAACGTAATTACGGCCCACTTTGATAAGTTGTCCAGTTTCCCGCAGCTTTGAATGCACAACTCTGAGAACATCATTAGCTTCTCGATGACCATTTCAAGTCTAGTGGCTGTCTTTAGATCTCTTGATTATGAAGAAGATTTGAAAAACGTCTCTTTGTTAAATCAAGTTCTTTCAAAAATTCCACCAAACATGAGAGAATCGTGGTCACTTTTTGTCGTGAAACGGAATTGGTCACGCCCCAACCTAATTGACTTTAACAATTGGTTAAAAGATAAAGCAGAAGCTCATGAGCAAATGAAAAACATGCCTGGAAAGCCCAAAGTCGAAGAGCCATCCAAAACTAAAGCTGTAACGAGAGTTTTTGCCTCGACAAGTACATTTGACAAAAAGTTTGAATATCTTTCTTGTATCTTCTGCAAGGGTAAACATGCCTCGTGGAAGCGCTCTGTGTTTAAGGAGAAAACCCCAACACAACGTTCGAAATTCTCTGCGGAAAACAAATTGTGCTTCTCCTGCTTACAAGGGAACCACGCATTCCGGAAATGTTCCAGAGCAAAGAAATGCACCAAACCAGGTTGCACTATTACCCATAGTGTACTTCTCTATGGAGCTGAACGAAATCCGGACAAAATTGATAGCCATACAAGACCCAGCGCTGGTCAAACAAGATCTAATGCAGAGCCGGATAAAACGCTGATCGAAAATCATTCAGCAAGAATATACCAAACGCAAGTTCGAATCATGCAGACATTAATCCCGTTCCGTTGGATGTAAGTTGCGCAATCTCGAACGACCAATCATCAATCATAATATCGAAAGGGTTACTGCCCATAATCAAGCTCCAAGTTTCCACCGATTTCCAGAGTGCCGATTGCTTAACATTGTGTGACTCAGCATCTAGTCATTCCTGGATATCGGCTAAATTAGTCAAATGTCTGAATCTTTCAGGAATTTGGATCTCACAGTAAATGGTATTATCACAACGACTGTTGTTAAAACGAAACAAGTGCAGATGAAGGTATCTTCTAACTTCGATGGATTCGAATACATATTCGAATTAACCGTATTTGTCAAGGATGAACTTAAAGTCGGTACCGATACCGTCAACATCCCTGCATTACAGAGCAAGTATCCGTACCTTGTTCCAATCAAACCAATTGTGTATAGCTACGCCGATGTAGACTTAATAATTGGTCAAGACTCCTTCCATGCTCTTCGGCCTGAGGAGTATTTCATGACTGAGGCCGATCCAAACACTTCGCCCGCCGCGGTTTGCCTTCCAATTGGCTGGGTCTTGAGCGGCCCAAATGCCGACATCTACTGGTTTCCTTTCTACTTGTTTCAAGTGCAATACGGATGATACCGAAATAGCTTGTCAAATCAAACGCTGGTATGAAATAGAGTCATACGGAGCCTACAAACAGGTCGACCCCCGTTCAGCCGAGGACTAAAGGGCGGCTAAAATACGTGATTCCTCCACCGTCCATGATGGATCAAGATACGCTGTAGGTATGCTTTGGGCAGAAGAATCTATCATGTTACCAGACAATTATTATTCCTCTTTGGTTCAGTTAAAATTGTTGGAAAAACGTTTAGCGAAAGATCCTCACTTAAGGGATCAATACTCAAAAACTATCGAAGATGATTTGAGTAAAGGATACATGATTCAAGTTCCTCCCCATAATTTTTCGAACCGCAGCATACGCGAGTGGTATCTTCCTCACCATCCCGTGGTGAACCCAAAAAAACCTGATAAAGTGAGGCGTGTCCTTAACGGAGCGTCTAAAGTCCACGGTACGTCATTGAACAAATCGTTGCTAGTAGAACCCGACCTACTGCAAAACCTTGTGTTTCTTCTCCTCCGTTTTCGTCAACATCATTTGGCCGTATCGGCTGACATTGAAGGGATGTTCCTACAAGTCGGCGTCCTTCCAGAGGACCAACCATCTCTTCGTTTTCTGTAGCGGGAGGACCTCACAGCCGATGTGGTTGTACACCAGTACACCAGACATATCTTTGGAGCGAGAGATTCGCCAACGTGTGCAAATAATGCATTGCAACGGTCTGCAATGGAAAATCAGGCAATGTTCCCAGACGCAGTGTCCGCATTTCTAGAGAAATTTTATATGGACGACTACCTAGACTCCTTTGAGGACCCTGATGTTGCATTTAAAATGAGTCAAGAGTAGATTACTGTGTTAGCTCTAGGTGGTTTTAAGTTAACTAAGTTCATAAGTAACGTAACTAAATTTAATAAAGAGTTAAACCCGCCCCAAAGCGCGCCGCAACAGGAAATTAAAAATATGGTAACTTGTGGGGATGATTCTTCCCATGTTCTTGGTATGAAGTGGGACCATATCGACGACACTTTGGTCGTAAGCCGTGGTGTCAACCGTGAACTTAAAAATTCGATAACACAGCGAACAGTGTTAAGTTTTGTTTCTTCCGTTTTCGACCCCATAGGTCTCGTAGCGCCCTATACCGTAAGAGCGCGATTTTTGTTGAAAGAAATCTGGCGCATTCATGGCCAACAATGGGATGATGAGCTACCCGTTGATATCAAGACAAAATTTCTTGCCTGGCACTCTGGTTTGCCATCTCTAGGAAAAATGAGTATAAAGCGCAGCTACTTCTCCACACCAGTCGATTGGGTTGAGTTACACATGTTCGGTGACAGCTCAGAAGAAGTTTTTTGTGCTTTAGTTTTTCTTCGCGCCCGTGTGAAAACTTCACTCGAAACACAAGTTGCCTTCGTCTTTGGAAAAGCTAGAGTCGCGCCCATGAAAGCGCTTTCCATCCCGAAGCTTGAACTGCAGGCGGCGTTACTCGCTACCCGCTTGAAGGAAGATGTCCTCAAAGCTCTAACCATTCCTGTGTCAAACACTTTCATGTGGACTGACAGCACCACTGTGCTCCAGTGGTTAAACTCAGGTAGTAAGCAACCCACTTTCGTGGCAAACCGTATTGGAGAGATTCTGGAAAGTACGAACGTAGACCAGTGGTTTCACGTCTTAAGTGGAGACAACCCTGCTGATACGGGAACCAGAGGAATCTCAGAGGAGTCCTTAAAAACAAGCAGCTGGGTAAACGGGCCAAGTCTGCTGAAAAGTGGCGAGTGGCTTTTCAAGCCGAGCATAGAAGTACTTAAGAAAATCCACCTGGCTGGTCCCACTTGTGACCCTAATGAAGGTTTAGAGCAGGCCTCTAATTTTTCAAACGTTGCACAAAAACAAAAACAACCCATTTTATTTGCATGGGAAGAATTCAGCTCGTTTCGTAAACTTCAGCGAATGGTTGCCTTCATGCTCAGACTTAGTCCGAAACACCGGGACTACCGCACTAAAGTCAAAGAAATAACCGATCCGGTTGAATTAGAAAACGCCATACAACGACTTTTGTTGATTTTCCAAAAGGAATCTTTTGAAGCGGAATATTTACTCCTGTCCTGCATCAAAAACCGTTAAAAAGTCTAGTCGTATCGCACAATATGCACCGTTTATGGGTTCTGCATTCCTCATTCGTTCAACTGGGCGAATTCGCCGCCTAGTTGAAACTGATTATGACACAAAACACCCCATAATCCTTGATGGAAGGCATACTCTGGTGAAATTGTTCGTAAGTGATATTCATTATCCTTATCAGCACCAGTTCTTAGACCACCTACGAGCTGTAATTCACTTAGAGTTCGCAATATTGAACCTTCGCTCTTTATTAAAGTCCATTGAAGTCCACTGCCTTATATGTAGGAAGCGCAAAGCCAAAACTGTCACACCTATGATGGCAGAGCTTCCAGTTGAAAGGCTTGGTTAACGCCAGCCTCCCTTCACAAACTGTGGTGTTGATTATTTTGGACCCTTTTCCGTCTCAATCAGGAGCAGTTCTGTTAAACGATGGTGCTTCCTTTTTACATGTATGACCACAAGAGGTGTACATATTGAGATTGTCTCATCCATGAGTTCGTGTGTAATGGGAATCGAAAGATTCAATGCCCGTCGCGGCACTCCATCAGTCATTTGGTCTGATAACCGCACCAATTTTGTGAGAGCCGAGAAAGAACTCTTGAATTGTATTCAGTCGTGGAACGGACAAGCACCCCCACAGCTGGCGAAAAAGGGTATTAAGTGGAAATTTAACCCCCCGGCAGCCCCGCATCACGGTGGTTCTTGGGAACATCTCGTTCGGTGTTGTGAAAGGGTATTCTACGCAATAATAGGAAGTAGAAAGCTCTTTCCCGAAGTCCTTGAAACATTTTTCTGTCTTGTAGAACAATCACTGAACGCTCGACCTATAACATCAGTAAGTGCAAGTCCGGATGGTTTCGAGGTGTTAACTCCTAATCATTTTTTGTTAGGCCGAAATGGTACTAGCTTCCTTCTCTCTCTTTCCAGGAGCACTTCGACCACCGAAAGCAATATAGCCGAGCGCAAACCTACGCCAACGCAATATGGAGTCGTTGGCTGCGAGATTATGTGCCAGTGCTGAATAAACGCAGTAAGTGGCACTCCGATAGTGACGTTTTTTCAAAAACAGGGGATTTAGTGTGGATTGTTGACGAACGCAGCCCAAGGGGACACTACCCTCTGGCTCGTATAAAAACCCTTAATTACGGAAAAGACAACATAGCCCGATCCGCCGTAGTTACCACCCGCTACGGGGAGCTAACTCGACCGGCCGTAAAACTTGCACCCGTTTTCGCTCCTTTGGGCGCGGAATATGTTCGCGCTTAAATTAATCTTAAATTAATAAAATCATTATAGCGCGAAAGTGAAAAAGATAAAATTAGATTTTCTAAGACAAAAAGCCTTGAAAACTACTGGTTTGTCCGATTAAGGTCAGTTTGCCCTGAAAAATGTTTATAGATTTTGAGATTGTTGGAAACCGTATTGCTAAAATGTTAACCGAAAAATGTTCACATGATTGTTTTCAGATATTACTTATTCTTCATATTATCTGTTAAATTGCCGATAGTTTACAGATATTGAAGCAGGTTTTTGTAGATCTTACAGGATACGAGAGTACGGCACAGTACTAATTGTTCGTAACGCCAAGTTTGCAAGAAACAAGGATTGTATCAAGAGACTCCTTCTCGTCTGCATAAAGTTAGATAAAAGTGTACTCACCCATTCAGATTAAATTAAAAATGAAGAATTGCGCTGAGTCAACTGATTTAGCTAGTTCATCAAGAATTTCATACTTATTTGCTTTGCACGGATTTTATGATGTATTCAAAAACCTTTTTCTATCTTTCAGTGTTTAAGTCTACACGTTATTTTGGTCTTGCCGGGGTTTTGAGTTGAATGTGGTGAATATTAGGAGCATAACTCCATCTATATAAACAAATCAGCAAAATTTAATGAGTAAATCAGGTCGTTTTTAAAGTGAGTTGTCAATTAAATTCTTCTCTCCTCGACTATAGCACTGATTTAATAGTCTATGTTTTTTGTCTATGAAATTTTCTTGCATTCCCTGAGCCAGAAGGCTGCCTTACTCAGAAATGCAAAACTTATATTCCTTCTAACAAATTTTTTTGTGTCGGAGTATAATTTGTTCCGTATTTCGTTGAATTTCTCTGCTAGTTTCTGGACGGTTTTTGTAGAGCCTGGTGCTGCTCCTTCACTAAACACAAAAAGTAGTTTAGCAAAACTGCTGTGCTCCACATCCAGAATTCTTTTTTTATTATTTAATTGTTTTGACATTCTCAAATTGTTTGTAGGCGTTATATATAGTTTTAGGGCAAGATATAACAAAAAAACTGCTAAGTCGGCCTCCCCATATTATATTTGCCTTAAAATGGAGTCGAGCATCATCTTCAGTGGTGATTTTTTGTTGAGATTTTGTCTTATTGGCTGATTTTTTGGACGTCTTTCCTGGTTTTTCTTGAACAACCCAAAAGAAGCGGTCGTAAACAAACGACAGTTATGAGCTCTATAGATGAAATAAGAGCCAAAATTGTTTCATTACCCCTTCGTCAAGGGTCAAGATGGCCGCAGACAGACCTCGAGGAGAGAGAATTTTCAATAGCAGCAGCCGAGTGAGGAAATTGGCAATTTCTACAAATTAACAGCGTTAATTGTTCCATTTCACGAATTGGGAGAGGTCAGTTTGCAGTGACGAAGTAAATTATAAAAACTCGTTTGAAAATAAAGACACGTCACGACCTTGAAATTTACCGGTTACTGAAAAAACGCAAAAATCCGAAGAAGGATTTTCCCTAGTCGGAATAAGAAGACCGCTTTTCGCTAAAGAAGCAACGACAATTCTCGACAGTGAAGAAAAAAAAGCGTTCAAACAATTTTGAAAATACAACCGTGACTATCCGAATTGTAACAATTGTGCAGCTACAATTGTTACGGAGCAGTTCCGGATAAATTGGAGGGGTATTGGGAAGATTTTACTACCCTTCCTAGAACGCAACAAGACCGCTCTTCGGCCGGATTCAAGAATCCGGAAGGGCTTGGAAAGAGATTGAAACTGGTTTTATTCCTCTTTTAGCTTCCGGAAATATCTTGAGTTGAATTTAATTAAGATCTCATTCATTTTTCCAGAATATTTGGAGCTAGGGGTTGAGGGAAAGGGTTGATCCATCTCCGATGCATAAGATGGTTTTTATCTACTGCACAAAAACAATATTAATATGATAATAAAAAATAGCCCTGTTTTTGGGAGTGACCTCGTGGTCTGAGGATACTGAGACCCAGCCCTTAACTCACTGTTTTTGTAAGTTACTAAGTTAATTTGCGCGATCTGGCCGATAGTTTAAATAGTAACGACTTTGTCGACCCGGTGTTAATGAACCACATAAGGAACTGGCTTTAGTAGAGACGGTTAAAAGCTTGTTCAGACGCTAGCCAGTTGTTTTAGGACCTAGCTTTGTTTTCCGTCGGTATGTACTTCCGGGCGAATGATACATATTCTGGTCAAAATCCTAGGTATTTTCCAGATATGGAAGGGTTGAGTATAACGTGAATAGAAGTAGGGAGAGCCAGATGGTTGGGAATCAAAAGGGGGTCAATTAAGATGGGCCCTTCCGTCATGCAACAGTGCGTGCAGTTTGGATAGGACCAACATTTAAAAAATAAATACTTTAATTGCAATGCGGAAATAATGAAAATCAAGTGAAAAAGAGTTTACATTACCAATAAGGTTTAATTAAAACATGTAAATTATAGATCAAACATTTCACAAATGGAGTTTTTGTTTTTTCCTATATGGACTTAAAATTTTTATTTTTAAATTAGTCTTTAAATTAGGACTTTAAATTTAGTGTTCGCTTGTTTTTATGCTAGTAAATCCCAGAATTTAATTTAGTCATCTATAATCTTATTCCATATTATTACTGATCGTTTACAAAACTAGTTTTCTTTGAATTGTCCGTTATATCTTCCTACGAACTATAATTTTACGATTTTCATGTTCGTGTCGATATGGTAGTTTTCCTATTGAATTTTTGAAAGAGCAGGTAACAGTTATTTTTTTCCAAAATTAGCATAATATTTTCAATCGAGAAAATGGGTATTGCTAATATATTTAAATTCAATTTTAAATCTGAAGATGAGTCAAACCAGTTGTAATGAATGCCTATCAAAAAAGTTTGATACAATTTCGCCTTTCTCTTCTAGTTTTTTTTTGTTAGATCAGCATTTTGACTTTCAGTGATTTTGAACACAAGTGATTGGGAATGAATGCCAGAAAAAAAAACGAACTTTTATTCGGAACAGTTCAGTAGGAGGATGTGATGTTTCAGACAATTGGTGGTGTATATTGTCCAATTGAACAAAACCAGAGAGGTCAATTTGAACTGACGGAAGAATTTTTGAAAATTGGTTCACGAATAAAGAAATGTCACGACCTGGAAAACTCGAGACAACTGGAAAAACCGAAAAGTCAGAAGACGCCAATTATCGATAGAGAGGTTATCGATGCCCCGGCGCTAAAGAGAGAGCTTATTTGGTGAAGACCACAAATCAGAAAGGGTCTTGGGAAAAGACTGGAAACTGGTTTTAAACGTTTTTCAGCTTCCTAATATGGCCCAAATTGAATTAAAAAACGTCAAGTTCGTTTTCTGATAATTAGAAGCTAGGAGTTGAGGGAGAGGATGGATCCATCTCCGATGGATATGATGATTTTTATCTACTCAACAACAACAATAGTATTTTGACAGTAAGTAATATCTTTGTTTTTAGGAGTGAACTTGTAGTCCGGGGATAATGAGACCCAGCCATGAATTCGCAATTTTTGCATATAACTAAGTTAATGTGCGCGGTGTGGTCGGTAGCCCTAAATAGAAATGACTTGGTCAATCCGATGTTAAAGGACGACACATTGAAATGGCTTTGGTAGAGACTGTTAAAAGCATGTGAAGCTGTGTTTAGACGCTAGCCAGTATATACTTCCGGGCGACTGTTTCATTCGCAAAAATTGGCTTGTCATCTGCACACTGTGCTACTCTGCACGAATTAGGTAC